TATGACTTTACTATAGTCCTTACTTATTATCGCTGTACAATTGTGCCTACCGGACCTGTGATGATTTGTTGGAGACCCCTCTTAACCCTACATCCCCTTATTTCTTCTCCCTTGTTTTCTTGCCCCTTTAATCCATGGCTTTTATATCTCGATAGGAGCCCTGGTGGTCTAGTGCTTAGGAGTCAGGCTGTGAACTGAAAGGTCGGCAGTTTGAAGCCACCAGCTGTCCTAGGGAGAAGGACGAGGCAATTACTCCCATAACGAGGGGCAGCCTCGGACACCCATCGGGGCAGTTCTACCTTATCCTGTAGGGTCCCTACGACTTGTCCTCGACTGGATGTCAGTGAGTGTGTTTTTTCCATTTGCCATATCTCAAAAGAGATGACTTAATCAGAGAAGGACCCGTATGATATGAGACCGCTCTGATACAGGGACAAATATGAAAACAAAAATCGAAGAAAAAGACTTTCTTTAAAAAATGAAAAAAGGCTTTCTTTCCAAAGGGAACAGACTTTGGAGACTCCCAAGGGCAGAAGGACATGGGGAGGAAGAGAAGCAGCAGGCCACCTGTGACAGGTGTTTCCTGGATGAAATAGAAGATAGTCGTCCACAAGAGGGCGAAGAGAATCCAACAATCAGTTGAAGGCTAAACTGAATGAGGGTATTTGCTTCCACGCTTCAACTGCTGAACACAAAGCTGATGATCCCCAATAAGCCCCCAGTTAATTTACCATTAAAATTTGGGAAAAACAAACAAACAGAGATAGAGGGTCTAAGACACACACCCTGCCCTGAGACTGTTTCTTTAGCATGGCAGAGAAATCCCATTCCCCAAAGGGGCTGTAGCTACAGGATTAACCAAAGGAAACCTGATGGCATCCTGTCAATTCTCATTCAGGGCAATTGGGTAGAATGCCCCCCATACACCACCCACCACCCCCCAGGGCTGCCGAACTACAGCAAGTGTACCTCCTGGGGATCGGGCAGTTGGGCTCCAATTGCAAGCTTCTCAGTTAGCTACTGAGCCCTTTCTCCCCTGTGCCACCTGGGTTCTTTCCATATTTGAAAGTTACTGCAGAGCTATGAGTCTGTCCAAATCAGTGTGGAGGCACCAGAGAGATTTCAGGAGCGTGGGGGCGTGGGGTGGGGACATTTGAGGGGCAGTGATGGGAGGAAAATTTAAGGCACGGATGTTTCTGTTCTCACAGAGAACGACTTGGTTCATGATTGTTTGCAGTATTTCTCCTCTCTCTCCTCTCCCTCCCTCCACCCTCTCCCACTCCCTCTGTTCTCCTCTACGCCCCTGCTCCATCTCTCTTCTTCTCTCCCTTTCCCCCTCCCCTGTCCTCCCTCCTTCCCTCTCTCCTTGTCTCCCGTCACTCCTTCTTTCCCCACCTCCCCTTCCCTTCTCCTGCTCCCCTCTTCTCCCTCTCCATTTCCCTCTCGCCCCCCGCCAGCCCCCCTCTTCCTCTCTCCTTCTGTCTCCCTAGGGGTAACTAGCTGCTCAGTGTCAGAGGAAAGAGCAAGGAGGGAGGCTGAGTGAGAAGAGGGGAGCCCTGGGTCGGGGATTGCTGTGACCTGCAGGCGGCGGCTGCAGGCGGCCCCAAGCCACCAGCTAGGGACGGCTGCACCTGGTGCACTCTGGGACACCTCCCTCCAGGGCCCTCAGAAGAAAGGTCTGGCGAGCTACTTCTGAGAAACAAGCACAGGAAGACCTGAGGGAGCCTAGTTCTCCTCTGACCCACA